GGGCTAGTGATAATTTATCTTTTGGCATGATATAAAAAATATGTTTTAATAAAACACACAAAGCTGAAMAAAGAAAAATTTATAAATTATTCACAAATTCACTATACGGATAAAAACGTACATACGAGCGCAATCAAAAGTTGACGTATACTAATCGTTTACGTCGTTGTAGATCGGAACAGTCTATAATTATTGGGTATATAAGCAAGTATGGTCAAAGTCGATAACAGAAACAACATTAAGATAAAAGATACAATAAAAACAATATTGTCTTGCATTGGGATATTTTAGAAATATTTTTTTCAATYGACAATRCGTTTTATAACGTCCCAAAAATGTCGATCACTGATGAGTGGCCGAAATATGTATTTTTGCAGGACTGAGTTTTCGATTTTTACATTATTTAGCAATAAATAGCAAAATAGTCGAAAAAATAGCAAAACCTCTAGAATATGCAAAAATATGCACTAAAAACTTTTGGTATTGTGTTCATTTTTGTCTGAAATGGATTTATTGCTTACTCTGCTATCTTTTCATAAACTACAAAAAAATATGCAAATGCTACAAGTCTCGAGCCCTGATAATAAAAACAACAGATTTATGATATATTTATTATCTCAGGAGATATCGCAATGGGTAAATCTTCTCGGGACACTGTATATGTATATTTATTATTTAGTAGGTATTGACTTCTGCTAAATGGTAATTTTTCAAGAGGAATTCGCACCAGCATGTGTTGTCTAAGTCTCACACACATATGAAATACTAGATTTCTGTACATTATTATCAATAGAGTGCTGTCGGTATTCATATTAGAGTGAAATGACTTATTTATAAAACTTAGGTAAGAAGATTACCTATGTACTCTCATTCTGCTTTTTACAATATTTTAATTTTATTATTACTATTTTAAAWTGCTCATAACTCACTTAAAAATTTTAACATGAAAAAGAACATAGATAATGTTCTTACCTAAAAGTTTATAATAGGTCAATTCACTCTAATATGAATACCAACAGCACTTAATTGATAATAGCGAACAGAAATCTGGTATATCGTACTTGTATAAGGAGACAACATATACGGGTGAGATGTCCTATTAAGAGGATATAACATCATTATATCTACATTTATGGTCATCTTACTAACTTACAAAAGAAAATTGTTTTCTGTAGAACCATTTAGTATATATTGCATAGAGAAACAATGTTCATTATTTTAATTAAATATTAGTTCATTGCTGTTGACAACAGAACACTATGAGTCACTAACAATATTATTTTATTTTTTAATACAGCGGTCGCCAACCAGTCGATCGCGATCRACTGGTCGATCTTTTTAGGAATATAGGTCAATCGTTATAAAAATTAATTTTACCACTATCAGTCGATTGCGTAATAAATGATCGGATAATGTAATTTTATTTACTATTTCTTGTGTATTATCAATATATTAAATTATTATTATTATTATTATTATCATCATGAAGAAACAACAAATATTTATTCTTTGGAGCTTAGACCTTTTTTTTTTTGCTCATAAAACAAATCTCTTCCTAAAGACCTAAATTCTCCTAGATGTCGATCACCTGGGGCTAAAAATTTCAAATGTAGCTCACTTGTTTGAAAAGGTTGGCGGCCCCTGTTTTAATAGGTGAAATAATATAATATTACTTGTAATTTATTGTTTGACGAATATTCATAGGCATGCATACAGGAGAAGGGAGTGTCTGTGTCTTGACACTACAAAACTTTGTTATTAGAACCTTAAAAGTCCTGAATTTAATTCATGTCAATAGAATAAAATGTGATAAAAAACAAATCATGTTAGTGATCAAAAAAATAACAAAACTTAAAATATTATAAATTTGCATGGAATAACTTATTATAATAACAACTATGTGACGTAACTGACCATAAAAGTATAAACAATAAATAACTTTTRCAAGTATCTTAGAATTAGATATTAAATCCAAGGTGTTGAAGGAAATATATAACTTGGTAGTTGATACTACTAATTATATACCACTGATTAATATGTACAAAGTGTATTTTTAAGTGAGGACCCAAAATTATTTTTAGACACCCTCTTGAAATTCAGGTGTATGTACGCCTATGATAATATAATTTATTTTACTGCTGTATGTTGTTAGTATAGTAATTAATTTGAAACTGGTAATTGTGTAAAATAATTATTAAAAGGCAAAATTACTTTACACTTTTTTCGTATCTATGGAAATTTTTCCATGCACTATCTATCACTATCTGGGCCTTTCTGAGAACAAAATACATAGTTTCTCAATACAATGTATACTTAAAATGGTAAAACCAAGTTTGTGTTAGCGATTCAATAAAATAGTGAATAAAATTAACTTATCATCAAAATTATAGGTAAGGATACGATCTATCCATTATGGCATTCACATTTTAATTTTAAAGTGAGTTAATACTGTAATATATTTAGATATTATAATTTTTACATGATGATATATAAGTTAACAATTTCAATATTTTAAAAAACCTATAAGATGTTTTATAATCTAGATAACATTTTTATCTTTAAATTTAATAATAGGTAAATTCATTATAATATTAAAGATAAAAACACAAAGTTGGTTCAACTCGTGTGGGTATGGTGTCCTCTTAAAAATTATATATTCTATTACTAATAATATTTAATGMATTTTTTTTTATTAGACTACTAAATAGTTGTTCACGTCTTTCAATGACTCGTAATTCGGTTTGGGCTGTATCTAATTTGTGCCGTGGAAAAGTGCCTCCACCTGATTTCACTATGGTTTCACCAGCTTTACCGGTTTTATCAGATTTGTTGAGTCACAATGATCCAGATGTACTGGCAGATACTTGTTGGGCCTTATCATATTTATCAGATGGCCCAAATGAAAAAATTCAAGCAGTTATTGATGCTAAAGTTTGTCCAACTTTAGTTGAATTACTTATGTAAGTATAATTTATGAACAAGAATTGATTAAAATTAAATTTCATACTATACTTTTTTATTTAAAGGCACACGCAAAATAATGTTGTTTCTGCTGCTCTGCGAGCCGTCGGTAATATAGTAACTGGTGATGATCTTCAAACACAAGTTGTTCTAAATTGTTCAGTCTTACCTTGCTTACTTAGCTTGTTAGGATCGCCGAAAGAAACTATCCGTAAAGAAGCCTGTTGGACTATTTCTAATATTACTGCTGGAAATAAAAACCAAATACAAGTGAGATATCAAAATAATAACTAGGGCTCTGAAGTTAAAACAATTATATTATATTATTATATTATATTACCTTAAAACAATTATAAAACCAAATATGATRTATAAAAGATCTTAAAAACTACAAATAATTTCTAGTTCAAAACTATTAAAAATATTTATTTTTTCTAAATTTATAAAATAAATTCTCAATTTACTCAAAGTCATTATATTGTATTTTTAGAGCATAATTTGAGTTTGTAAAAATTAAATGAACAACATTTCTATACTAAATTTTTATATTTAGAAAAATTTATCTTCAGTCCACTAAAATGATAGGAGCAAATTTAAAATCAGTGAAAAATGTCGAAAATGACTACAACGTAAAAAAAAGCTAAAATGCAAAATGTATCAATTTTCTAGCCCTTGAAATAACAAATTGTATTAAAATACTGACAGAATAAATGTTATATGAATATTTATAGGCTGTTTTGAATGAAAACATATTCCCTGCACTCATTCATATTATGGCCACTGCTGAGTTTAAGACAAGAAAAGAAGCTGCATGGGCAATAACAAATGCTACATCTGGAGGGACGCAAGAACAAATTCAACATTTGGTAGAGCAAGTATGTACTTCTTTTATAAAATATTTTAATATTATGTTGCTTATTTTTCTTACTTGTTTTTTTAGAAATGTATTCCTCCATTGTGTGATCTCCTGACAGTGACAGATGTAAAAATTATTCAGGTGGCTTTGAATGGTCTAGAAAACATTCTTAAATTAGGTGAACAATTAGCTAGACAAACTGGTGCTGTTAATCAGTATGCTGTCCTGCTAGAAGAATGCTATGGTCTGGACAAAATAGAGTTTCTGCAGTCACATGAAAACATTGAAATTTATCAGAAAGCTTTTGGAATTATTGAACGTTATTTTGGTTCTGATGAAGATGATCCACGTGTTGCACCATCTGTACAAGAAACTGAACAAGGAATTGAACAGTTTGATTTTAGGGATCAAAGTGTCCCCATGGGCAGATTCCAATTCTAAGAACTGTTACAGGAAATATGATTTGATTTTTTCAATTGTTTTGTTCATGATTCTTATTTGCACATACATTTTTAGAAAACAAAGAGACATTCTCTATCCTTTAAAGATCTTGTGACTGATTACATTCAACTACTGGCATATTTCTGAAAGTTAAATATAATTTTAACGACATTAATAAATTGGTTTATTTCGACTAGTGTTTTTACATAATGTTATTTTTTTCTTTTTTACATTATACACCTAAAACTCAAGTAATCTATATTTATACAATTTTGCTTGAATATTAATATATATGGTAATTGTTGTCACAAGTTATTAAAATGATAACTTAAAGTATGACTTCTTCAAACTACGTTAATCAATAATACAAAAATATATTTTGTACATAAATGAGATATATGTAGTCATTTTTGTTAAAACTGTAATTATTTAAAATAAAAAATAAAACATTTACTTACTAAAAAAAAAAACGAAATGGTGTTGTACACAGTATTGCATGATTTTGTCATTTATGTTGGTACTTTGTACTTGATAAATGGTAACACTGGCGTTATGCATTTATGTCCAGTTAGAGAAAACCCTTACTCACTTTCAGCTGAAARGCGCTCATTTATTTCAAAACGCTTGGCTGCTATTAAAGTTCAGAATATTTTTGGTTGAAAAATGTTTTAAGTGTTTTTCTCAAAATTTATAAATCAACGATCTATAAAAATGAAAATATGTGTCCTAATGATGTGTAAGTATTTAAATTATTTATGATTTATCAGATTAGTAAATATATGTAAAAAAAAAATATAGCAGTTTAAAATCTAGTTTTTTAATATTTCCTATGAAGATATGAGAATTTTAACTATTGAAATTAAGTTAAAAACGAAGTGATTCTCTGCGCTTTTTAGCCAACTTATTTTAATTGTATTATTTTCAAAAAATGTTGACTTACCTATAAGGCTATAACTAATAAGTTRTATTAGATTCGTAAATTCACAAATTTGTATTATGTAAAAAAATTAAAACTAATTATGAACAATTCATTTTCGAAATATATATGCATTCATGTATTAATCGAATACGATTATTTTTACCTGTATAATTAGTAATTTGGCGATTTGTTTATTATTATTGAGAATCCATATCAAAAATGTGCTTGGTTCATTCATAGCGACCAAGAAAATTTATTTTATTTATTTAAACTCATTGACCAGAGTATCAGATACGTGACAAACGGCTAAAAATTTTTTTTTTGAGATTAAAAATTAAGACCTCACATATTTTAATAAATTCAAATTTTTAAACATTATATTTATTCTTAATTTTTCATAAACGGCAAGTTGGCAATATTCAACTTTTAACCAAAAATTTTTAATGGGTAAATATATACTCTAGAATTGTAGATGGTTAAATACTTTTAAAAAAGGAAACACAATTTGGTATTTATCTAACATGTCTATTATTAATTTTGCTAATATTTTTTTGAATATAAAATAAATACTACTTGTTTGCATAATCGAATTACTCGCCTTATAGGTAAGTACACTTTATATCCTATTATGTGTAGATACCAGGAAAAGATACGAAAAATACGTTACGCTTACATAAGTAATTATACTCTCACAGTCTTACCTACCTTAAAGTCGTCTTTGGCTAGATATATGAAATAAAGTTTTATCATCTCATTAAAATAAATAAAAATTTAATATAATTATTATATTTTTTTTTTATGTGAGCTGGTTTGTTTAAATAAACAAATAATCGACAATGTAATTTA